TTTATCCAAAAAAAAAAAAAAAAACATAAAAAAAAAAAAAAAAAAAAAAAAAAAGTGGCCAGGTATTTTCATGTTTCCGTTTTTTTGTTTTGCAATCAGTCTGACCCGCGTGTGTGTGTGAGTGTGTGTGCTGCTATGCATTCCAGTGCAATGTGCTAAGCCCGCCCAGGCAACAATAGGGCATAGTTCCCAAAGAGATACTGTGTGTAAACGCGTTGAGCTGAAACCGTTGTGGTCATACAGGGAATTCATTCATCACGGTGTCCTTTTTCGAAGGGGAGGGAGTGGACAATCCGGAAGGGAGGCGCAGGCACAGGACACGTCTACCTGTGGGTATGCCCACACATGGCCTCGAATAGTGTCAAGTTCCAAATAGTACACATTTTGGAGGAAATTGTCTGTCATCCACGCATGAAAACAAGATAAGGTTTATCTTACAGAACCGGGCAAAAGATTTTCACGCAATTTAGATTCCACTCAATCTCAATCTCTACTGGGTTGAAAAAAATAAACGTATTGCTCCTCATGTCAATTCTGTGAACAAGTTATGTGCGGCGGCTCACGCGTCATCGTTGCTATCCGATTGCAAACGACACGTTGGCCGGTTGGTTTACGTTGTCCTGTGTACCGTTTGAAAACACTCGACACCACTAGTTGTGCAGTTTCTCACGTTTTGAATAGAAGTCTCTCAAAGATAGATGCACTTTGCATTATTAATCTGCATCCTATGGAATGGTATGAATTATGTATGCTCAGTGTGCAGCGCACATCATTTGGACTAGCCGGGTTGTTAAAGTATGTATGCATGTTCGTGGTACTTTTTATTTGTTGCGTTTTGAAGAAAAAAAAACATGTTCTGTACTTCTATTTCGAGGATTCACATGAAATAACTATGAGCATCATTTTTTGATGCAGACTTATGGTTGACGCAACCGCGAGTTACGTACCGTATCTGCATGTCATGCAGCTCTATCGGTGCGTGTCACATCACCCGAATTTATTGACTTTGCATCTGGAAGAGAAGAATAATGCCTCGGTGAAAATGAACGTCTCGCTACGTGTCATTTTGTGTGTGTACGTGTGAGGGTCAGCCACCGGTGGGGGGGCCAAGTTTTGTTGAAGCAGTTCAAGAATAAAAGCGCAGCCTTCGACGTCTCGC